ACCCTCAGCCAAGCAGGTTAAGCCAAAGCTTCTCAATGTGCTCAGAAATGCATTTTCTTCTCAGGTGTTGTGCATTAGTGCCACGTTAAAATGTTTAATAGAAATTCCTGTAAAGACCTGTGGTTTGAAATCTCAAGCTCAGTTAAATATCTGTGTCAGTATATTGTGCCATTACAGAGCATTGTGCAGTGGTCTTACCTTCGAGAGCAAAAGTGGGGATTTAACGGTTAATAGTTTTGCTCTTAAGTGTGGTAGGTGGCAGACTCACTAAGTTTGTTCTATAAACTGCCAAAGTATACTTAGGTGATATTGGGTGAAAAGGGTTAGCTATAGCCTGAATCTCTGAGATGCTGAAGAGCACTGATTTGGAACATCATCCACAGACACTTGGGGAGTGTGTGCTATGCTTATATAATAAGAGCCAGATGAGCCCACTTTGGCACGTTGTAGATGTATTAGCCCGTTTAGAGCCCAGTCAGAGAAGTTCTTGAAGCGAAAAAAACGAATGTCTGAACACCTGGGCTTGGGAGTTTGGAGAGAAATGAGGATAGATTTTATGAGGCAACGCCACTGTTTGCTTCCACATTATTTATGCTGATGCCTAGAAATAGTTTCTCTGAGTGTGAAATATCAATTTTGTTACTTAAAACTGCAGTATTTTCTTCGCGTTTTGTCTAAATTATCGGTCCTAGTGGGGAAAAAATGAGCAGAGCCTTCTAAAATTGTAAAGACAGCATATACATATACGGTTTCTTTTACTTGCTTTGCAAAAAAATGTAAAAATCATTTCACTGTGCGAAGCACACCAATATTTTATTACCTATAAAACTGCGTGTATTCTATGGGCATGGTATTTACAACACTGAAGCACAAGATATTTTGTGATGATCAGTTGCTCCAACAATAAAGCATCCTTCTTGTTTCAGCTAATATTTTAAAATAATCTTTTAACAACTGGTGTTAACCATGCTGTCATTATTACTTGAGCATTTCTGGAAATGTATTGATTTTCCGAGTTTATCCCCTCAACATCATGTTTTCTGATGGTGCATGTCTTATAGCATTCCTGAAGAAGGAGTATTGTTCTTGATCATTCAATTGTAGATCAGTTTTAAAAAGGCTTGGCACTAATAACAAAAGTGAAGACATACTCCAAAGTCCGCCTAACCTTCAGTATAGTGGTGAAACCCTCAAGGCAACTGCAATGTGTAGATGACGTGCTTATGTGTGTGTAAAAAGACGTGTTTAATAATTCAAAGAAGTCATGAGTTGCATCAGCTTGCTTGAGGGGACTCCTTATGTATTTACCACTCAGCTGCGGCTTGAGAGACACAGCGAGCATGTGTCTGCCCTCCAGATCTACTGTATGAGTCGGAAGGTAGCAAAGACAGTGACTCTGATACCAATGAGTCGTATTCTGAGCTCCCTCTTCTCTCAAGCTTTTGTCTATTGGTATTTCCATCCTGGCACAGCTGAGCACTCCCAAGTGTTCAGATTAAGGCATGAATCTCAGCCATCCTGGCATTGTGTTGTGTGCTTGTAAGGTAAAACTATGTATAATAACGTAGGTGAAATTCAGGTCTTATGATTATGTCCCAAGTTGTAGGTCAATAGCTACTCCCATCTGTGATTATATGTGCAACTGCCTGCTTATGTACACAATATGTGGGATTCTATAAATAAGATTTCTTGTCTTTGAAAGATGTAGCTTTCTGTTAACATTAGTTAGCACTTTTCAATATACTAATAATATACTGTAATATTCAAATATACTAATATTAAATATAGTATTTAGTATATTAAAAGAGAATGTACTTCCCGTACACCATAGTGATGCCTATAGTAATTAATTGATGTTGTCTCAGTGATTTGAGATCATGTTTTACTTGAATGGTCAGTCATTTAGGCACAATGTATATTTTTTTAATTGGTTTGTATTCTGATTTGTATTGTTGTTTAAATATGGTGATCAGAGAACAACATATGTAAAGCACACACAAGTATAATGGGAACTCAGAAAGTTTTGCTTAGATTTTTAACAAAGGATTAGAACAGTTTTCATTGGGTTATACACATACCTTTTGTGTTTCAGAGAAAATGAAGGTTGTGGTGTTACGTATTAACACCTGAATACATTTCCCTGTAAAACCTTATCTACAGCAATTAAAAAGCAAAGTGAAAAAATGAATCAAAGGGAGGTATGATTACATTTTGTGAATCCTTGCTGACAACTGTAAATTAGTTTGCTATTTGTATGTTTATTTTCCCTGCTGAGAGCAATGGTCTTGGGACCTTTTAGCCTCATATGGTGTGCAACAGAAATAGTTCCAGTGCCTGATGCTCCAGACACAGCATTCCACATGGATACCCACGTGCATGGATCACACAAGGGGACCTGGATGCCTCACTAGTGCCACTTAGCTGAACAAATGCAAATAGATTTGGTTAGATAAACAATGATTCTTAAATGTTATGTGCGTGCCTTTCTCCGATGAAGATTGTACCTTCTGATGGTTTTTCCTAGTTCATCTCTTCTTCTAGGACCACAAGATGTGGTATCTTTAGTACAGTGCTTATGACAAATTCAATTGCAACCGGATCTGAATTCAGCAGTATTTTAAAAGAAAAAGTGTGAGATGCATGAGAAATCGGTAACCATTGTATTTTTTTTCTTGTAAAAGTATTTCCATCCACCGTCCTCTGTTCTGAAAGCTTCTTATTCTTGTTTCAGTGTCACTATAACTCAGATTCGGTCAAATAAGTGTAGGGCACAAGGCAAGATTAAGAAATATTTTGCAATTCAGTTAAAACTAGGTTCTCCTAGTTTCTCCTTCTGGGGGTTGCAGTAAAGGTCAACTTAAAGAGCATCTGATAAACGCTCAAGGTAAAGTAAAATAAACAAATAAATTGTGACAAATTGTAATATTTTGCACATAGTCATGGTTTATGTTCTCATTAAATCGAGTAGTTGAATTTGTTCTGCAGAAGATAATCAAATAATAAGATTGTAGTTGCAAGATTGTATTTAATGGCTTGGAAAGCAGACAATTCAAAAGGAAGCTTTATACATGTCTTATGTATTGCTTGGTTTGGAAGACTTCTTGCGTGGCGGTAGTCACATTCAGGAATGTGTATTGACTTGTCTGGCATGATAGTTAATAAGAAACTGCAGGGCTGTTGAATGGGAAGGGGGATAATAGTGTCCAAGAATTAGTTTGGGAAGATTGTATCATCAGAATGTTTTGTGGAAGATAAAGATATTTGGTGAATATTTGTGATCTGCTTGGAAATCCCTATATCATCTTACTCATTGAATTATGAATTCAAGCTGTTTTGGTATTGTATATCGCTTTACGTTGTTTTGTATGGATTTTGTGTTTAAATAAATTATTTTGAATTAGCTTTAAGAAATGTTTGCTTTGTAGCAGCCACCAATCACCCATTGTCAAAGTATTGGAAACTGACAAAATAACTTTCTCCTCTTTGATCTCCTACACTTGCTACAGTATGTCCTTTATCTGTTTAGCAAACAGCTGTTAGATGGTTCATTCAGTGTTCCAACAGTGTCCAATGCCCTGGTTAAGACATGTACTATATTTTTTAAGCACAGTAGTTTCAGTTTCTGGTTGATACCCACTAGTGTTTGAAGCTCAGATAGAGATAACTATATCTCTATATAGACATTAGAAGCTCATTTGCTTTGTCATTCGACATCCACAAGTGTGATACTATAATGAAAAGTGAAGAACATCTCTCACCCTCAATCCAGCATTGACCTCATGCAGTTGCATTGATGACAGATCATGCTCTGTCTTTCCCAGTATTGAGTCATTATCAGACTTGAATTCAACAAATGTAACCACTAAGGATGTTCATAAAAAATAATGTCACAAAGACACACTAGTGCCTTTTGGACAGGTCCCTATAAAAGAGCATATATTGATGAATTACTCAATATTACATCTCCAAAGTACATGGATACCAGGAGTATTGGTTTCTGAAGAGAAACTTATTAAACACTTCTTGCTTTTTTGTCCATTTTCAGATCTTGCCAAGTTTTTATTTATTAAATCATTTCACACCATATCATATGACCGTTCTCATTTCATGCTTTCAAGGATGTCTTTCAGGTTGTTGTTTATTTGATGTTGGCCGCTGCTTGGGGAAAAAACAATTAGAGGCTTTTTTTCTGCATAATTTCTCTTAACGGCTTGAAGCGATATCTGACAGATAGTGGCTCAGAGCAGCAGTTCCAAGCTCTGGTCCTGGAGTAATGCTGTGTCTTCTTGTTTTTGCTCCAGACAAGTAATTAATCGGAGGCTAATTGACTTCAGTTGACTGTTTTTCGAAATATTTGTACATTTGCTTTCAACTCATAAAAAGATTAAATGGGATTCCTAAGTGGTATTGGTACCAATCCTGTACCAGTTTCATAATAAAGGGGCGTTTCCTGATGTTTATTCAGCTGACCTCTGCAGAAGAAATTAAGCACTCCTGGGAGTGTCTGACACAGTGTCATTCCTACCTATATCTGTTCATCATCACTTGATGAGCTTGTAAGAGATGTTTAGTTAGAGATGATGACAAGCATGTTCAGGAGAGACTGCATACATTTCAGTGTACTGAAGTTGTGGCAAAAAAAATACCCTTAAAATTGACAGTGTTATGACTGATTGAAGAAAGATGGTAAAAAAAGTTTAAGTTCTCAATTATGTCATGAATTAGCACTGGAGAATTGGAGCTCAGATGGGGAAAAAAACCCCAGCAGAACATCTGGCTTAGAGGACACAACTGAGGATGTGATCTGAGAATTATTTCACTGAACCTGGGTTTTATAAGTAAAAAAACATGCAGGATGTGCACAGTGAAGCAATTCTGCTTAAGCAGCTGTAGCAGCATCGCAAAAGATAGAACTACTCACTCCTCGAGGTCAGAAAGATATATTCAAAGAGATCTCATGTGGTGTGGAGAATCTTAACGATTTTGTTATCCTTTTTTAGAACGGAGCTGTTCCAGGAGAGGCTGTAAAAAAGGACGAGAACACAAGACGTGGAAACTGGGGCAACCAGATTGAGTTCGTGCTGACCAGCGTGGGTTATGCTGTAGGACTGGGCAACGTGTGGAGATTCCCTTATCTCTGCTACCGAAATGGAGGAGGTCAGGCAGTCCATTCAGTGGTGTACTGTATTTAATCCCTGTCAGCAGTATGCACGATCTGATCATCCGTGCTCACTTAAAACATTGACCCCTTTCTGTAATGGTTTATTAGCACAGCGGCTTTTAAAAAAGTACTAAAGCTACTTCAATTTAACTTTCATTCCCCACCGTCGACTAATTCAAGTGGAAAAGAAAAATGCATCTGTTAACCTCGCATACTCATAAATGAATAATTGTTCCACAGACAGGAAGACATAAAGAAGCTTTTCAAATGGGAAAAAAAGTCCTGTTTGTGTTATAGCTCTACAAAAGCGTAAGATTTTCACTTATCATACAACTCCTGCAATTCGATACTTAATTTCTAAGGAAAGGCATTAAAAGGCAGCAGTGTTACTTGTAACCTAATCACATCAGATCTCAGCAGCTAAGAAAGGCTTGGCCCGGTCAGTACTGCGATGGGTGACACCCAAAGAAAAGTGCTGTTGATAGACCAGTAGGTGGCACTCTTCCCTTTAGACCAGAATTTCCAGTCCAGTGCCCCAGTATGGTGATATTGTGCTGTAGGAGGTACAATATGGTCATCATTCTCATAATGAACAAATTCATCTGAACCACTCAGAGTGTTTATTTGTATTTGCTTCACTGAAACTCATTTACTTAAACATTTGCAGTATCTGAATGTTTATTGACTTGCCATGGATTGTCCTAGAGCTAATGGATCTAACATCTGCTACCTGTTTCATAATCAATGTGACAGCTAAATGTAAATAGCAAGTGTCTTTTTATCACTGATAATGAACCTCTTTGCTTCCTCTTTAAGTCATATTTTTATGCATGAAACATTGATTGATACCAGCTTTACAGAAAACAAAACCAGCCAGATGATTTGAATTTTTGATAGCTGCTAATGGTACAAAGCTGTTTGATGTAGGATAACTGGCAGGCTTGTGCTGTCGATAGTCTTAATGCTCTGGACTTGTAACTGGGGGGGTTGTGGGTCCCGATCCCAGGTGGGAGAGATTTCTGTCGCACGCTCATTCTCACGTTGTTCCTGTAAAATATCCTGCTGTATAAATGACTACCTTCTAGATCAGGATTCTCATGAGAAAATTCTCATGAACACATCTGGTTCGATAATGGTTGTATTAGGGCAGCATGGTAGTGCTGTTGTTTCACAGCTCCGGGGTCCTCCGCTTTGAGTCCAACCCTGTCTGTATGGGCTTTAAATGTTCTTTGTGTGGGTTTTCTCCAGGTAATCCAATGTCCTCCCACAGCCCAAACACATGCCTGCCCTCCTTCACGTGCTAGCCTGTGTGAGTGCATGCGTGTGCGTGTGCCCTGCGATGGAGGGGAGACCTCTGCAGGTTATCCCGTCTTGTGCCCTGTGCCTGCGGTGTTAGGCTCCAGCTCATTCCGACTCTCTGAAGATAAAGGGATTGTTAAACTCCCAGCACTGTTATTACCCTCTTTAAAGAAGCAGGGCAGTGACACTCGGAATGCTGTTTTGCTGTCCCAGGTGCCTTCATGTTTCCCTATTTCATCATGCTGGTGTTCTGTGGGATCCCCCTCTTCTTCATGGAGCTGTCTTTCGGCCAATTTGCCAGCCTGGGCTGCCTGGGGGTGTGGAAGGTCAGCCCAATGTTTAAAGGTACGCAGAAAGAAATTACGTCATGGAAATGATTCTGAATTATTCTTTTAAAAAGCAGAGTTCAAATAGCTATTAGTCTCTCCTAATGTACTGTATGTTTTTCTGTGCTCAGCTCTTCTAAAAGAGGTCTGAACGGCACAGCAGCTAACAGCTGGCTATTTCAGGACTGTTTTCTAGGTTTATTTAAGGTTCTGTTGTAGTCTTTGAGGAGTTTTCTCTGGTCAAAATGTATAAGAATTTTTCTGTCATTAAGGGAACTGGCAGGGAGCTGTGTTTGGTATCCGTGTGAATTTTAATTGGTTTTCTCTTTCCCTCCCCTGCCTCTCTCGGGGTATCAGGAGTGGGCTATGGCATGATGGTGGTTTCCACATACATCGGTATTTACTACAACGTGGTCATCTGCATCGCTTTCTACTACTTCTTCATGTCCATGACCAGCCTGCTGCCCTGGACATACTGCAATAACCAGTGGAACACCAAGGACTGCAGTGGGGTGGTGGGCACCTCCTATGCCAACGCAACCGCACTGATGTCCAACTTCACAGAGCTGGCCAACAGGACAGTGAAAAGGACCAGCCCCAGCGAGGAATACTGGAAGTACGAGCAGACTGTCCGAGTACTTTGTTACACTGTCTCACTGCATCTTTCTAGGGATGAGCTTGACCTGCTAGGTGGCAGTGGAAGGGACATCCACCGATGTCCTCTTTTCCCATCTCAATCCAGGCCAGCATGCGTAACGTCACATCAAACAAAATCAGCGACTCTTTCAGATCGATACACGAAACATCATAGGCTATTGAGGTTTTTGTTTTGTGTCGCATTGGAGTGCATTTCTTTCTGAGTTAAAGGAGTCTTTTCTGTGTCATGCTGTAGTCCCGGAACTCTGCTGTGAATTACACAGTCATGTGAGCACAGAACTTGAAAAACCATATTTGTTTGAGGACAGGTTTTTATTTCCATTAGTGGTCTTGTCTCGTCTTTAAAAGGTAGTGATTGTTTTACTGTATAGGCAGAATAGGGTCAGTTCTGATGTGTTTTTTGCTCTAGTGTATAGTCGGTGATTTAGAATTCACAAAGAAGAAACAACAATAACCTTTCCTGATGGCTTTATAATAGGTTTTGTGCTTCTCTTCATGCATTGTGATGTCACTGTAAGATGAAAGGAGCTTTTTGTTGCCAACAGCAGTTAGAAACAATCCCATTGTCTGTGGAACAGTCTTTGTTTACCCGCTACTATAATTAGTACAGGGATCTGCGACATCAAATATTAGCTCACTATGGTCTTACCCTAATTTTTATATTTTTAATAGCTGATGATGAAGGTTTACATCACACAACCTTACATAAATGAGTCTCACTCCCTTTTTAAAATTACAAAACCTTATAACTACATTGTAACAGCTGAATTGAGAGGGAACACAGAAAAGAAAAGGGTCTTTCCCCTTTTAAGCCTTTAACTGTATTTGACCTGTACTACACATTTCTTTTATGACCTTTGAGTTCCTTCTAAAGAGCTCATGAACAAAACTGTATTATTTTGTAGCCTGGAAGCAGTTGTGACCCTTCTTTACGAGACCACCTTCTGCTGTCTTTTTATTTTACATCAACATGGGGAAGACAATTATTTTCTACCTTGTTGTCATTAACAAAACAACTAGTTTCAGTCTAAGGTGCTCCTCTTACCAAATCCAGCATTTTGGAATTTTTCTTCTGCTTCTAGCAGATTTCTTTAAATGAAAATCTTGTTTGATTTTTTTCAGGTACTACGTGCTGAACATTTCAGATGATATTGGAAATTTTGGAGAAGTGCGACTTCCTATACTGGGATGTCTTGCTGTCTCCTGGGTTGTGGTGTTTCTTTGCCTTATCAGAGGAGTCAAGTCTTCAGGGAAAGTAAGTGATACAAGATTCTTCGCCTATATATATCTAAGGGCACAGTGATAATCCAGGCAATACTTTAGTGTACTCATTGTACTCCTACAGAATGAGTTTTAACATAGTTGGAATGCCACCTCCTACTGCAAACATTTTTTCTGAGCTTTTAATTTTTTTTTCCAAATAGTTGTGTTTAGAATTTCAGATAAAACTGTTTGAGATGAACAGTTTAGGTATGAGTGATGGCTGACTGCCTATTTGCACAAGTAGTATATATTGTTAGAACAATTCCCAGAGAATTTGGATTAATTCTTGATTTAAAAAGAAATGGGAATTTGGAATGTTGGAGTTTTAACAGGAGGTTTGTCAGGAAAAGGGCATAATTAATTTAGAAACAAAATAAAAAAAAATCTTGCAGTGTTTTTTAAAGTTGTGATCTCAAAAAGATGGAAGGACTTTTTAAGATGTGTAAGAGGTTTAAGGAAAGAAATTAAAAGGATTCTTCACTTCTGTTTTTCTGAACTGCTGTGCTTTTAAAGACCCACATTTTGTTATAGGATGCATCTGATTAAGCAGAACTGACATATAATTGTGCTCTTTGTCCTTTTCACTGACAGAATTTAACTGTTTTTGTCCACCATTTGTTCTTTGATAATTTGTGCTTTGCTCAAACAGGTGGTATATTTCACAGCCACATTTCCCTATGTTGTCCTGACCATCCTCTTCATTCGAGGAATCACCCTGGATGGTGCCATTAATGGAATCAAGTACTACTTGACACCACAGTGGCAGAAGATCTTGGATGCTAAGGTTAGTTAGCCCATTTTGCTAGTGTCCCACCAGTTTTTAGTCTGAAAACCCTGATTAATAGGGTCTGAAATTGTTGGCCATCCAGTTCCAATGCTATTGTAAAACCGGCTGCTTCTGTCTCTTTGGTTCAGGTGTGGGGAGATGCTGCTTCTCAGATCTTCTACTCCCTCGGATGTGCCTGGGGGGGGCTCATCACCATGGCCTCCTATAACAAATTCCACAACAACTGCTTCCGGTACGTCATACTGTACTTATGGTTGTTACCGTCCTTTAAACTGGATCTGGGTTCTTCTGGGTTCTGATCAGAGCAATCTGCGAAACAATAGAGATAGCAAATAGAATTCAGGAGGGTTTGGAGGAAAAAGTGTGGAATTTGAATCCAGGGATGTTATGTTCAGGTTTTACAACACACCAGTAAGATCTCGTTTAGATTGCTGTGCTCGTTTTGCAGACATAAGAACATTATAGCTTTACCTCAAAGAGAAGCAATAAGAATGGTTCCTAGTCTCAGGGGATTGTCTGTCTTGCAGAGACAGGTCAAGGGATCTAAATCTCTTCAGTCTAGAGCAACGGAAGTCGAGAGAAGGTTGGATTCAAATATATAAAATCTTATTTGGTCTGGATAGGGTCAGCCTAGAGGAATATTTTAGACTTTGTAGTAAAACTAGGACATACTTCAACAAGGAGTTGTGGGCATTAGAAACTGTTTTTTACAGTCAAGTAAAACTGACAAGCAGCCTCTGAGCTCTTTTTAGAAATACCTGAGTGAAAGTTTAGATTTAACATAGGTATTCATGTACAAAACAAGCAAGATGAGTTGAATAGCCTCTCATCTGCAACAGTTCTTATTTATTGTGTTTTTTATTTGACTTATTTTGGATATTTTTTCACGTATTAATGTGTGAATGGATAGAAATCAAGACTGACAACAAGGATTTGCATTTTAGTGAGTTTAGTGAGTTCTGTTGAATATTGAGATTTCCATGATAGTCAGACTTCAGGGAATTGATTCCTCTCTTGAGCTTATTCCCCAATTCTGTATGATTGCATGCAGAGTTATCAATAAAACCCCATATCTCTGCACACAGCTGTGAAAACGTCAGTTACTTTTGACTGAATGTCTGCAATACAGTTCATATTTGCACTTGGAACCAGTATTTTAGCTCCATCTTGTGGTAAATAAGAAGAAAGGCTGAGGTGATGGAATATGTTCTACAAATTATGGTTTTAAATTTAGGTGTTGAAGTTATAACAAAGTATGAATGTAAAATATATGGTCATTTTGGGTTAACTTGTTTTAGAAATGCCTTTGTACAGATTTTAATCTCATTTTACATTTTAATCTCCTCTGCTGTGAGCTGCAAAGCTTGAACCGTGCTTTCCGTATCGGTACAGGGACAGCATTATCATCAGTGTGACCAACTGCGCAACCAGCGTCTACGCGGGCTTCGTCATCTTCTCCATCCTGGGCTTCATGGCACACAACCTGGGCGTGAACGTAGCGGATGTGGCTGACCACGGGCCTGGCCTGGCCTTTGTGGCCTATCCTGAGGCCCTGACCCTGCTGCCCATCTCCCCTCTCTGGTCTCTGCTTTTCTTCTTCATGCTCATCCTGTTGGGCCTGGGAACTCAGGTAAGCCCTCCACCGACGCTACATCGCACCTCCCAGTGTTAGAAGACCTGTTTTAGAGCCAAGCTAGAATGCTGTCATTTCTCAGAGCTCCAGCTGAATGAATGCATTAAGCTTTCTGCTTCCTTCCGTTTCCCTGATACTCACTGCTGATTATTTTCAGAACCATTTATTTTATTTAGAGAACTCTGTTGTCAGTCTAAAAGGTTGGAAGTTTGTCTTGAAATTCAAAAAACAACTATGAAAGACAGATAACAATCAACATAAAATAATCTCTTCACTCTGTTATTAATTGAGTATATTTACAGATTGCTCCAGTGATGTATGCAGGTCCATGTCCATTGCAGTAGCTGACAGATGATTGGTTGTCATTGTAGTTCTGCCTGCTGGAAACACTGGTCACAGCTATTGTGGATGAGATCGGAACAGACTGGATCATTAGGAACAAGACTTACGTCACCCTTGGGGTGGCCATCCTGGGCTTCCTCCTTGGAGTGCCGCTGACCACCCAGGTGAGTGTATAGTCAAACTGTCACGAGGACATTTTGACTTCTTCACTTCAGGATTTTCATTTCCTTGATCAGAACAAAGTAAGGATGTTCTCACGCGTCCTATGGGACACTAGTCCTTCTTTTGCACAAAACTGAATAGTGATTTTCAAAAATCACATAAGGTGGTTTTATAGATTTTGATCTCAATCAATAAAAGCAGAACAGGTCAACAGGGATTCAATACCGAGAACAGGAGGCACAGTGTGAGTATGGAGCAACTGTCTAGACATGGTGTTGAAGCCGATATCCCAGGTCGGATCTTTGGATTATTAAGATACTGACTACCGAATGTGTCCGATGGCTTCTTCTCATGTGTAACTGTGTCAGTGTTCTTAGCTGAGGCCAGAACAGTATGGCTCTAGAACAGTATGGCCAGGAATCAGCAGTGTGTATGTGTGTGTGTACAGCACGTGGCCATTTTCAGGTGTTGTCTTCCTCCCGTAGGCTGGGATCTACTGGTTGCTGCTGATGGATAACTATGCTGCCAGTTTCTCTCTGGTCGTCATCTCTTGCATAATGTGTGTCTGCATCATGTATGTTTATGGTAAGATAAGCTCCTCAGTAGCTCTTGCTTTATAGCTCTGTTCTTGAAAAGATCATTTTGACTGATACTTCTTTGTCTCTCCTGTTCTGTTCTTCAACATCATTAATGTAGGTCATTTTGAAATGTGATCATTTGACATGTTCATATTGAATTCTTCACTGTATATTTTTTTCTAAACTCTACTTGATTTAGATGGTGTTGTGCTAAAGCCTTTCAGAAAACTATCCCTCTCTATAATACATAACCTACAGTATTTATTATGTATAGAAAGCCCATTCATACAAACCCCTAGTGAGCTCAGTTATGGCGATGACCTCTGTCATTGTTTGACCCCTCTTTGTCCTCCACTGCAGGACATGTGAACTACTTTAAGGATGTGGAGATGATGTTGGGTTTCCCCCCTCCAGTGTTCTTCAGAATCTGCTGGAGGTTTATTTCGCCTGTCATTATCACAGTGAGTAAACCTCTGAGCTGACTGCTTGTGTATCCCATGGAGGGATTCCAGTTCAAAACAACCTTCTTTGTTTAAAATATGGCAGGTCTTTGCTTTAAAATACTTTGTTGCTTCATTATCAATGCAACAATTTATTAGACTGAGTGATTGTGCATACCGTGACTTGGTGCATGCACAAAACCCTTTTGACTCGTATGAAGATAGAGCATGGTTTCTGCTGTCGAACAATGCTTGTAAAGTCAGCCTGTCCAAAACCAATAAAAAATATTCATATTGCCACTGATAGTTCAACATTGTAAACAAAAAAGTTGTTTTCTTTCATAAGACTGTAGTAATAGTTACTGTAGGTAGTTTAAAAACAGTAAACAGATTTATCTGCTGAGTTGTAACCAGTGTTTATTCCTCTTTATTTTTTAGTTTATCTTGGTCTTTACGGTCATCCAGTACAAACCCATTACCTACAATAACTACATCTACCCTGGGTGGTCTTTAGTGATTGGATTCCTCATGGCCCTCTCCTCGGTCATCTGCATTCCTATTTATGCCATTTACAAAATCTCAAAGTCAGAAGGAACAACTTTCTTAGAGGTAAGCCTGATCATATTCATTCCCCTTAGTCCCTAATGATGACGTTTGTTTACACAGCGGGTGACATCGCATGCCTGCTTTGTGCAAGGAAAGCTACGACAATTACTGGGAATAGAAGGGAGAATATCTAAGCAGGAAAGAAGTGAAATAGTAATGCAGAGATTAATTAACTCAAGGGTCTCCTGCTATTCTAATTTCACCGGGGGCAGACGACTGAAAAGGCGGGATGTGATTGGGAATGTGTCTGTGTCTCTCTCAGCGGCTGAAGAACGCAGTGAAGCCACATCACACATGGGGCCCTGCCCTACAGGAGCACCGGATAGGCAGATACGCCCCCACCGTTAGCCCCAGCGCGGACAGGGGGGTGGAAGCACCCCTGCATGAGAAGGAGAAAGAGACGGAAACAGAGAAGAAGCCTGAAGAGATAAGTCTCACCATCCAAGGCAGCAACGGCTCCACGCACAACCCGGACACTACCGCATAAATCCAGGAAGAGTGTCTCAAGCCTTTTCTACACAGCACAGTGTTTCGAGACACTTCACGGTGAAAACGTGGCTTTTACATATTGTAAAAGCTTATTATTTCTAATCTCTAGAGAATTCGGTTGTCATTGGAATATTTTTTTGTCCGCATAATTTAATAATGCATTTTTTAAAAGAACTTTTTTTTTTCTCTTATGCATGAAAATCTTCAATGTGGTATACACACTTTGTACATAGTACAAATAATAGTTGAGTGGGCTACATTTATTTTCAGATTTTTATAAAATCCAGATATGTTATAGTAGCAGCAGCAATGGCAACAAAGTATCTTAACAGTGCTAGCAGTTTAAAAGCTGGAGACCAAATTTTCTGACATCATTTAAAAGCCAATTTCAGAAACAATTCGATAACGCTGATTAATTTTACTTTTAAATAGACATACCATACAGTACATACTGACAGGCATTAAAAACACAAGAAATGCCATTGATTCTAAAACTCATTTGTTGCAGTTTTATTCTCTCCCACATACATGCAGAAAAAAACTACATTTAATTAGCTTTGGATAGGGAAAACAGAAATATGTCAAAGCTTATGATCATTATTTAGTTTTAATTGTATATTACGTGAAAGGAGTATTTGTCTCCAGTTTTCTAAATGGCTACCCTGGTTGGTAAAGCACTTTCTTCGCCACACCCATTCTCAGGGTTCAAACAGAATTGCTTTCTGAAACTTTAAAGATCAGTGGATAAGGGAGACGATCTCAATGCGAGAATTGAACTTTAAGATGAAATAAAGTAAAAGGTGAAAACGTTTGCTAGTTACAGCTCAGGACTTAAGGTGCCACTTCAGTATGGTCTTCCATTCATTTTAATGAGTATCTTGAAATTAGATCTAACCTCTCACTTGTGAAGGGAGCATTTTAGTTAATAACAGTAGGAAATAGCACAGTGGATACAATTGCTTAGATGGTGTTGACCTCTGTTACTAAACAGTATTTGTAGCCTCGTATGAAGAAAGAAACGCATGTTACCAAATATTTGTAACATGCAAAATCCGTTTTGTCTGCATTGCTAGAGTACAGAATATAATTACATTTTCATGTCGGCTATGTTTTTTCAAAAGGGAGAGTATTTGTTCATGCTGTTCCCTTTAGAGATAAGAGTGAGTTTGGAAAAAGTGGGCTGTCTTTAACAGGCTTTTGTTGGGCTAAAAAGAAGAAGCCCGGGCTCTGGAGCACAGGAGCAGAAGTAAAATCCCACTCTGCAGTTTTGAGGCACCCCAGGGAAAGCTAAAGGAGAGGAGGATAATCCCATAAAACAAGAGGTCATCAAGAAGTTAAATTTAGTTATCTGTACAGTAGTTCACTCATCAGTGTCTTTTTTCTTTATTGTAATTAACAAAGTAAATAATTTTAAGGAAAAAGAAAAAGTATATTTTATAAACTACAGTATCTTGAATAATAAGAGTAATGTTTACTTGTTTGTGACTTGATTTTGGCAGTAAATTTGAAGCTTGTTTTTTTTTTTCACACTGATGGGCTAAAAGCCGAGGATGCTTCAGGATGAAGAGCTGCCAGTTATTCTTGACTTAACGGAGGAGGAAACAGGAGCTGTCAAGAAGCCTGGTTTTTGCTTTCAGTTTGGTGTAAGCCTCTCTCAAGTAACTTCAAGCAGCAGACTTACTTGTGGGTACTTGAAAACTGGGCTCTGATTCAGTCCAAAACCATTTTTTTTCTCAGCACAGAGTAACAGGAAAGCGGGCTGTTCAGCTGCTATAGTCCCACATATCTAATGTCTACATTGCAGGTAATGTCTACATTACTTGTTTTTGCTCCTTAATAATCATATTATAACAGTTATAACCAGGCAAAGGTGGTAATCAGACTTAAAAACAGAGGAATCTGTTTCTGTTTGCATCTGATTAATCAGTTGATAATTATTCCTAGACAAGCAGTTTTAGGCTTATTACTGGAGTGTTTTTTTGGTCAATCAAGCAAGGTTTATCAATGCACAAACCGAACAGCATAAAGCGGTGTTTTCGGCAATGAAATGCTTTATCCGTGAGCTCGTTGAGAGGGAGAGAAGAGTAGAAGGACAGACGTTTATAGGGATTAGGTTAGGATTATGATACAAGAAATACAGTTACAGATTGTGCGAACATAACACAAGGTTAGGAGGTAGTTAGCACTGTTCGTATGTGTCCTGAGAGTGCAAGTGACAGGAGGGCGCCGGTGCACCTATCAGTTCAAGCAGATTGCCTATTCGCCAGCGCCCATTTGGGTAATTGCAGATGTCTGCTATGGTTGGTTGTTTGTATTCATAACATTAATATAAAAGGTTATAATATAAAATAATTTTTGCTGTAACTGTTCAGACTTAGGGTGTGTTTGGCAGAATATCTGAAACTCAGGGGACTGAGGGTAGTGTTGGTGCCTTTTGGATATTTGAACATTTGAAGCACAAATGTCAAGATAAGTACAGCCCAACAAACTCAAGCTTTACTTCATATTTAAAAATATATGTAATTACTGCACTGTAATGAAATGTGTAGTAAAGTAAAGGTGCTTTACATTACATTTGCACATAATGGAGTAGAGCAGCTTATTTTTGTAATTTTTTTTTAATTGCTCCACACATTTCAGCAGCTCTACGGTACATGTGTTCCAGATAAACCCTTTCCATGTGAATGCCATTACATGGAACTGCAGTTTTAAAGAACCAGATAACAGCTAAGCTTTCTCCTGAACCAAACACTTGCTCAGCATCCTCGGCAGGGCCCAGTCTTGTCTTTTCTTGTACAGTGATGTAAAACTGCCCCCGTCAGATGTTTTGGGGTTTTCTTCGTGGGAGGGGTGCTGCAGTGAATGTAGAGTGTGAAAAGTGTTCATATGTATTCTACGTAGTAATGAGTTGTAACTGCTGCTTTGTTTTGTGTTTAGTTGAGGATAGAGTTGGTATGGATTTTTCTTGAAAGTCTTCTATCATAAAACTTGTAAGAAAACATTTTCATCGCCAGATTAGCCATTTATATTCAAGTGCGGCGGCACTACTTTTTTTTTCGAATTCAAAGCCAGTTGACGTCAAATAGCTTGCCAAACGGCAGCTTTGAATGGAAACTTGAACTGAAACGTTGGAATGTCTCGCCCCCTCTAAAGCTGGATCTTTAGTCCTACAGAGGACTAGGATTTGCCATGAATTTAACTGCATCATAAATATGGTTACAGTTCAGATATTATATTGCTGCTGGGACATTTATTCCAAAACGGTGCCATATCTTTCATCAATATTGTAAAAGCAGTACATCAGCAATAAACCTGTGATGTAACAACAACCTAAGATCAGTACAATTAATTTAGAGCATTTGGTTTATTCTTCCACTTTCTTTAGTAAAGAGGTCTTGACTATATAATAGTATGTGCAAGTCTGTGCCAAAAAACACAAGTAATACTTTTAAAAAGAGGATGTAAAACCATAAATTAACTCCATCAGAATACTGGATTTTTGTCTATGCACGTTCTTTGGATTCCTGATGATAAGTAATGAAGAATTCAGTTGTTGTTTTTTTTGTAGACAGAACTGACTTTTCAAACATTATGTTGTGCTTCAGAATAATGCAAAGGGACTGAAGAAAAAAAAAATGAAGGCACAGCTTAGCGTAGGTTATACAGTTGATTTGTATCTGGTATTGCAGGAGATTCAGTATCATTTTCCAGATTTTAGAGTACTGCTCTATTTGACAGAAGTTTTCTTTACATAAAACCAATGCAACTCTAATAAATAAAGTAGATTTGGTAAAATTGTTCACTTAATTTTGTGCTGCATAAAAAGTGAAGACAGTTATTTAATGCCTTCATGTTCAATTAAATGTGACATTTAAGAAAATAGACATTTTCATAAAAACCTGTATTCCTGGCAGGGTTATGGCAACCCAGAGCCTATGCCAGAAGCACAGAGCACAAAGCAGGACCCTGGACTGGACAGAAACGGCAGTCCATCACAGGGTACACACACACAAGCACAATTTAGATGTACCAGTTAACCTTGCTATCAGGAGGTCAGTGGGGCACCCAGAGATATCCCAAACTGGGGGGGACCCAAGAACTACAGGTATGAGGCAGTCGTGCCAACTTCTACACTACCAGTCTGCCTTAAAGAAGCGCAAACTAAAAAAATGGAACAGTGTACTGTATATCTTCAAAAGCCTTTGAAGTCTTAGCACACAGTGGTACACACATATAATACCAGAACAGCACACCAATGTGAATATAAGCACATACGAAATTAAAAGCTTCAGAGCAGCACTTATACAAACAGCCTTTGCTTTTTGAAATTCAGTGCCACCTTTTAGGCCCACTTTGAACTACAGTATATAGTTTGAAGTGTTCATTTTATGAACGGCTAAAATAGCACAATTTAAAAATATATTCAGTACATATGACACTGCAAACATTGTGCACACACAATATGTTTTATGGCTATAGTAAGTGTTATGGATGACGTTATTGTTACTCGTGATTATATACAGTGGCATCAATGCATGTCATATATAAATAACGTAAACGGTACGTTTTTAATTTTAAAAGGATTGACAGTTATGCTAATTTAAATAACTAGATGACATTTTTTATGGCTGCTTTTTAGTAGACAACACCTCATGTTTATCAATTTCCCCTGAGGCCTGGTGCTTATTTTATAGCCATGGATATGGGCATGTTCTAGGCAAATTACTGAAAGTAGTAGTAAAGCCTGTACATCAGTATGAATTCTGTGTTTGTGCATGGGATTAAGTGAATGTGCTTCCTTTTCACAACATTGAATAAAAGTAACAAATTTGCTGTTCTGTTTTTCAAAGACTATAGTTGAGTGTATATAGGATCTTTTTCACATGGGTAGATTGCACAAATTTACCTTTGTAATATGTACTTTAGTTTTTATGATTTGCTTTTTAGAACACTACAGTACATTTTTTTAGTTTTTCTTGAGCTGTCATGTCTGCAGAGTGAGGCATTTTCCTCCATGATGTTTATGTAACAATGCACAGTCTGTATTGCTCCACAGCACTCACCCACCCCGTCTAATATCACTGCGGAAACTTCAGTAAGTGGGAAGAACCTACTGTATGTTGTATATTGTAAACCTTACTTTACAAAGACCATTGTTGCAAATGTCTAGTTTGACCAGCAGAAAAGAAATTGGTTTATGCAATGCGTTACTCAAATTAATATAAAACTATTTTTAATAGCCACATGGGTATGCTGTTACTCTGTGATTTCCTCAGTTGTGTTTTTTTTATCACATGGGAATTAAACCGGTTAAAAAATAAAGGCTTTTTTACATGAAAGTGATTCCTGTGAACTAGCTCAAAAAATGTTTATTACAGTACATCTACATAGTTAAAGTTGGTGGAGATTTTTTTTTCAAAGGTTGTTACTGTACCTCATTTTGTCTTTTTTCCCCATCATGTCCTTTGATTAGTATAAACTAATATCAGCTTGACTTTAGCTTATGATCTTATATTTTTTGCTGCTCAAGACATTTTCCAGAAAAATCTTCTATAGACAATGTATATAAGTCTTATTTGAAAATCTGAATAACAATATTAATAATAATACAATGTTTGTATGTGGATATCTTAAAAACAAGGTACTACTGTTGAAATCCCTTTATACAGAAGTATATATTTTAATTGGCTAAATCGATGAACATTTAAGCACAGAAATTAGGAAGGAATTAGTGTTTTCCTTTTCAGTACTTTAAAGGTACAAATGCACCATCCATTATATACAAAGGTGTATGAGACATGCCAGTCAGTCTATCTAAATGGAGAAAATATTTGTTCTGTACATTTACATGTTCTTAAAAAAAGATCCAACCAAAAACAACTCCAATAAGTTTATCAAGTATGTAAGAGTAACAGCACTGGCATGATATCAACTGTGCTTTAAGCCATGCAATGAAAATAATACATAACAGTAGTTCTTTATATTAATAAAGCTGTTGTTTACTGTTTATCTGTCACGATATTACATTTCTTCCTAGTGGGCTGCAGCACCTGGGTCTCTCCTCCTGGTAAGAACTGTTGTCAGTACTGTCGTGTGTATGTACAGTAGCAGTAGCAAGGAGGGACAGTACCAGGTGCAGTGTGAAGTCCAGGTGATTGTTTGAGTAGAGCAGCAACTTCAGCCAAACTTACTGTTCTGTTAACAGCCCCAGATCCACCATGTGTTCCTCATTCAGAGCCTTTCTTCAGTGTCAGATAAGAAGCAGCATGATGCTAAGTTTATGTATTGTGTCACAATATCCAGTGTAAATGTGTATTTTTCATTTTAAGACTGGGAGTCCAATCTAGCTTTAATGAAAAACCTCTAGAGTATGTGTACAACAATGCCGTATTGTTACTTTTTTTTGTTAGAAATGTGAATAAAGAATAATGATTAACCTGTAATTTAATTGTTATTTTTGCATTCATTTCCAGGTGTTGTCCTGTGTCTTTTTTACCAGGTGTCCTAATGTGTTCGTTTTAAAAGAAGAAAGCAATTTTATTTTAGGAAATTGTTTTTCCGCAGAGTATAGGTTACTATAAATATATATTTTCAGCTGCAGCAATACAGATTTTTTAACATGGTATATTTTAAATTATTTGTCACATGCCCAGGGGCTGGACCACTTGAGTTTAGTTAGCTAAAACCTGAATTCTGAATTTCTGATTCATCTAGTAGCAAACAGCATAGAGGAGTGTTCATTTTCTAGCATCATACCTTGCGGGTTGTGGGCTCAGACCCCCACTGCAGGCACTCAAGGTACAACAGCAGTGAGGTGCTTTCCCTCCCCCATTGCTCCAGTCCACCCAGCGGTATTAAAGGGTACCAGTGTTTGCCAGCGTTAGGCTCAGGCTCAGTGATGTGTCCCTTCAAGGGAGGTTTCACATACTCTCTGTTCATTTAGTGCAATGGAAAACAGGATAAGCTCTGGCCCAGTGATCCGCTGTGGCGTGAATGTGGGACTTACCCAGTATCAGATTGGCATGAGTTTGTTCTGTATTGCAAATAATAAAATAATAATAATAATAAAAATAATAATTGCTTACACTTATATAGCGCTTTTCTGGACACCACTCAAAGCGCTTTACAGGTAATGGGGATCCCCTCCACCACCACCAATGTGCAGCCCCACCTGGATGATGCGACGGCAGCCATAGTGCGCCAGAACGCTCACCACACATCAGCTATCAGTGGGGAGGAGATTTAAAACAAGCAGATTGCCCCATGAGTGCAGATAAATTCAGTTGCATAGTGACAGTCTTTTTATAGTGAATTTTTTTAATCACGTTTCGACTTTATATAACTTCACCTTTCCCTTCGCTTCACATTAAAAGAAATCTTGAAAAACATCCTTGAAGGTCACAAAGGTTTTTTTTTCTTAAGTGCTGCTGGCAAGGTTATCTCCTTGCAGCAGCCTGATTCTTCGTGAGGCAGACTGGACTCCGCCAGCTGGCTTCTCCACTGATGGGGGTGTGGGTATGAGTGTTCGAACAGCGATCTTAGAGGGGGGACCACAATTTGGGACCAATCTAAACTTAGAGGACAACATCTGTGTGGGGCTTTCTGGTCCTGAGGCCCTGGCTGAGCCTGCACTTTCTAAGCCAGGGCTTGAAGCCGATCTCTGCATAGGAACAAGATGAAAATGTGTTTTGCCCCTGCTGTTGCGGGTGACTGTATTGCACTGACTGAATCCAGGTTTAATGTGGCATCCTAAACGACTCAGCTCTGTGTCCACAAAATGGATGGAATCAAGACTTGGAACAGACACTTCAGGTAATTCCAACGGGCTTCGGCTGTTATTGTTAGCGTATGGATTGTCCGGGTTCCAGTTGCATTTCCTGAGAGGCACATCACTACGATGACAAGATCTTTCGGTAGCTGCAGTGGAAAGCTTTGTGTCATGTAACGTCCTTTGCGGAGTGACGTTTTTAACACTTAAAAGTGGATTGCACAGGGTCTTTGTTGTGTCTTCTGGGTCATTCTGAACTGGAGCTAGTGCTGTCAAAAGTCTTGGTTTCAATATATTAGCTGAAGATCCCCTTAAAAGCTTTATATCTCTGAAAAAGAACAACATGTTTTAATCCAGGCACATTCATGATATAACCAGGTCACATTTAAATCCTTGCCCTTTCACTTCACAATAAAAAGACCCCATCTCAGGTGAGGCTTCATATAGTGTAGATTTGTAAGCTAGTCTAAAATATTCTAGCTGAAGTGTACACAAACTGTTTCTCATAATGATCTATGGGGTATTGAGGTAAGTAATTTATTGGTTTGAATTTACCAGTAAAAAAATGGCATCAATTTGTAAGGATATTGTCACTGTCAGGTTAAGGTGATTCAGTGTTTCAGCAGGCTGCAAATGCACTTGCAACTGAATAGTTTGATCTACAGTACATCATCTTTTACCACTATTGCTCCTAAAGCTTACCATTAATATTGATATGACAGACAACCTTTTACTGGTAAACACTGTTTCAAAATGCTGTAACAAATTTGAAAATGGTAAGGGAGCTCTTCCTTACCTGCAGCTCTTCAGCATAGTCCCACAGATTGGTACTTTGTCTGACTTGAGAGAGCAGTGTGTCGGTACTGCAAGTTGTAGGTCTCTTTCAATTACTTTTCTTTCTTCTTTCAGCTCTTCAAGTATTAAAGAGAAATGAAATCCAGTATCACCATTACTATATAACCTCAAAAGATCTGTCCTGTGCTAAAATAATAATTATAGAGATTGAGATTTCTTTAAATTAAAACAACAAATAATTATTGTATGCTTTGTACTATAAAGCAGTTTGGTAAGTTTTTAATTTATGTGGCAAATAAACAGTGTTTTACTCTATCAAAATACATAAAAAATACAAAATGTTAGTCTTTTATTATCCACTTTATGCAAAATACATTTGGATGATTTCTGCAACAACATATGATCTTTTTGAAAGATAACTGCACCAGTAATTTCAGATTTTTAGAATGTTGGCTTTCAGAACTCTTGCATAGCACATTCAGATGTAAGGGTTGCTCCAAAACATCATTATTTTGGCTGAAGTGCAGGTTTTTAATAGGAAAGCATTTAGCACATGAATGTTGCCAGATTGGCAGTGAGAACCCAGGCTTTGAATTAATCCCTTTTTGCACAAGAACTAGAAATAACACGATACTTCCACAACAAACTGAGTTATCTGGTTTACAAAACTCCAGGTCTGCAACCTGCCAAAATGTTAATAGTTCCTCCACAGCAGGGATTTATAAATGTGAGCGTATAGTATAGAAGTGTGCCTATTGTAATACTGAAATCCATGGCATCTATTCTAACACATAGCAGGCTGTCAAGATGACTCTACAAGTAATGACGTAAGGCACTCAGTAGCTGGCTGTTCCCTTAATGTTCCCTGAATATTAATGCACTGTTTCATAATGCCATATAAACATGAATAACTTCTAGTGAAAGTATACTGTATACAAAAACTTTTTAAAAGAACAATCATGATATTAGTGAGAACTGATAAAGTTATTGTGAATGAAAATAGTTTTTTGAAAATCATATACTGTAAGCGACAACACAAATGCTGTTCTAGTAACATTTTTTCTTTGAAAGTCACTAGATGGCAGTGAAACCTCAATATCAAAGGACAGAACGTCCTTCAAGTTGTAGAGACACACACTCCTGGTTTACATTCCAGCACCATGAGAATGTTGCAATTAAGTTATGCAATTCTGTATTATGTTTAAATTCTATTCATCCTGCTTAGAACTAGTTCTATCTGCATAACGTTGTTGCTGTTTTTCATCTACTGTAAAGTATAAATATAGTTAAATCTTAATCTTATTATTTTTCTTATTACAACTAGCTTTGTCTTTCATATTTTTTTCTGGTAATTAGGCAGTGGACTAAAATGCATGTACACACCATAAACGAAATTATTTTCACTGAAGCAACGCAAAACAGCAACAGCCATGCTCTGGAAACTGTTTTAAATGTGCAGCAAGTGGTTGCTCACCTGCAACAGAAGGCTCTCGTACAGTGGCCTCAGATCTATCCTGCTCCACACACTCCTGCCAAACGAGTGAAAGAAAGGACATGTACCTCAGCTCTGTTCTGAACTGTGCGGAACAATGAAGACCAAGAGGGGACCTTATTCAAGTATTCAAAATCCTCAAAGGCACTGACAAAAAGTCAGCCAGGTGGGCCTCTTCAGAGCCGGGAGTGAAACACGAACCAGAGAAAATAAATGACAACTAAGGGGCAGTAGTCTAAAACTGAGAATAGGAATCGCTTACAGGATGCAGGAAACGAGCTCTACAGCCATGTTGCTGAAGCTGAATCTCTGTTTCTTTCAAGACAAGGCTGGAAGAGTCAACAACGGGGCTGGATGGGTCACCTCTGCACCCTTGTAAATGTTTTTTATATTTTAATAGATTTATGGACTTATTTGAAATTATGCATCAGGAAAAGACACATAATTTGTTATTGATTTAAAGTCATTTTGAATTTATTGTAATCACTTACAGTATTTAAATAGCAATTTTCTAGTACTAATACTAGTTTTATTGTCTGTAGAGTTTGGAAAGTACTGAATATCCACTGGGTAATCCACATTATACTGACATAATGCTCGTAAACTGTGCCAGAGCTTTGTGTTTATACTAATATAAGAAAGAGTGAACAAAACCCCTGAGTCTTGCCTTTTTTTCTTTTTTGTTTATCATATCCAGTTAATTGTAACAGGACTCTGATTGTATTGGTATCGATGTTCAGCAATAGAGGACAAGAACTGATTTTCTCATTACCCTAAACCGCCTGGCTGCTAAAAATACGTCCTCTTTGACGCAGAAGAGCTGACCGGAGTAAAGTTAACAGCCACCCGAATACCCCTGCCCAAGAGTATGTACATCTTGCAATTACTAATAAAATGTATTTTTCTAACACTTAAAGCTGAAGATTAAACATCACTTTTATTAAATATAATTTTAGGATATATAATGTCAGGATAAAGACATAATATAATCTTAAAATAAAATACCAATATCAAGAAATATGAAATTTAAAAGAAGGCGGTGAAGGAACTAGAAAATGTCTTATTTACAAATGTCATTTACAAAATCTGACGAAGACGCAGATAGACAAGTGACCTTTACCAATAGATGCTACACGTAAACACATTTCACGTTGTATGACACATTAAAAAACGACATCTTATAATAGTAAAAAATAAGCATCCATGTTTTTGTGCCATTCAGAAACTAAGAAAACAAAAGGAAGAGGTTTTTCCATCCTCTGGGAAAGGTCAGGAAGGAGTGACAGCAACTCCAAAAGCAGGTGCAGAGCAGACACAAGGCCGAGGTAGCATTACCTTGTCAACCAAAAAACATGAACAGACACGGTAGTTCCGCTCAGTAATCCCCGAATGAGATTGAGATGTGAGAACATTTCACTTTTCAGTTTGAACTCTGAACTCTAGCAATCTAGAAATCAGAAATCTACAAATGCAACTCTTTGAGCGTATGGCTTGGGATAGGGATTTTGTTTCGATCACATATTGGTGGAATGGTTGTTAATTTTAAGTATGCTTGAACATAGCCGGTGATAAAGAGTACTGGGCAATGATTTGCAGACTATGCATAAGTTTCAAGAAGTCCTGAATGTTTGAAAGGAGATAAATCTTGTTCTTCTGTTTGGCTGCTCTGCTGGAAAATGTTACGCGCAGTGACTCTAGCAGTAACACTGTGTGGAGCAGTAGTGAGAGCTTACAATTTGCAACTGAAAGATTGTGGGTTTAAATCCCAGGTAGGGCTCTGCACTGCTACATTGTACTGTACTTTGGCTTGATTGCTCCAGTTGTATAAATTGGGACAAATGTTATATTTCTTTGGATAAAAGATATAAAAGATTATCAATAAAGTGTATTACCTTACATTGGGCAGAAAGTATAAAATGTTTTTTAAAAAGAACAGGGCAGAGCATGGAAAGGGATTTGTATTGCACAACAGCCATTTTGTTGTTCACATTTATTTCATCTTTGGAAAAAAATAAAATTGAAATTCTTAACATACTGCATGCGTACCTCTTTAATTTTTAACTTGTTCAGACTTATGAAGAACTGCCTAGAACCATTTTCGGAAATTTTCCAAGAATAAAGACAAAACATCTCGCTTAGACACACCCCAGCGTTGTCAGAACAGCTGTAGGTTTCAGGACGTCTGAATATTTTGTGCAATCAAACATATGAACAGGGCATAGATGATCCCTGTTGTATAATTTTGCCTTTATCGCTTAAAGAAAATACAGATGTTTCATGTCTGTAAACAGGCTAGCTTTGGGGGAAAAATAGTGTCCATTATGTACCCCCAAAATAAACATAAGCACACCCAACTGCATAAAGTAAAGCCAGGAAACTGCAAAAATGCATGAGAAGAAATTAGTTGACTCCTGAATGCAGCTATGACATGACCTTGACGATTATTACATCTGCCAGTCATATCATGTGATGGCGACATATGATTATAATTATGTTCTTGTACTTGGCTTCACATCCCTGTACTACTGTCCATCTCTAATCTAGTCTAGTATATCCATGCTCAGTAGTCATGGAAAGGACTGTGAATGCTCAGCAGACTATGAGACCTGTTGCATTCAACATGGGTGCCTCTAACTGACTGCAGTTGTGTTGAATTTTGTGACTTTAGTGATCACCTTAGTGGTTCTGATGAAAGATTCTACATTTTGGACATCCTCAGCTGACTAAATCATCTTAGCAGATGATTGATTATGAAATCATGAACTGGATGTCGCATGGCCACCACACGCAAAGTGTTAGTAAATATGTCCTGTACCTCTTTTATATTCATGCCAGCTGCATGCCTACTTCCAGCAAGAACCACTGAGAAATTACATATGCCACTCTTACTAGTTTTTAACAGCTGGGAGATTTATCCTTCTTATACAGTATATGTGTTATGTATAACACATACTGAGATGCATAATTAAATGACAAGACTCAGTGCATGTGCATTTTCATCCAATAATACTATACCTGTTAAAGTGACTCATCACTTTGAAACTCTGCTAAAGGTATTGCATGCTTTTAGTGAGCACTAGTTATAATATATAGATAACATACTGAATGCACTGTGATCATGTACTGGGCTAAATGGTTACTGAAGAGTAAATGGTGTATTATATGAATGAAAAGCACCTCTGTTTTATTCAAAATCTCAAAATGCTCTTGCAGTTAGGGAAAGGAAAACTATTAAACTAGCCAGACAATAAAACCTCTGTTCACCCCTCCAGGAATAAAAGCATGTATTCTTCCTACTAGGAATTCCACCTCAGATGTCTTTTCAAATATCTCCTTTCCATACAGCCTCAGTGATTTGTTCAAGCAAAGCCTTGTCACGGAGCAACAGCGAATTCCAAAACAGAAACAGCAGATTCTGTGATGCCAGGAAAAGTTAACCTTTCCTGCATCTGGAAAATTTAACACCTCGTCTCTGGATTCTATAGGCACTGCCCTTTTAGGATATTGGAACTTTTTTCTAGTAGTTTTTTCTAGACAATTTTATATTGTCTTTAAATGGCAATTTGCAGAAAAATATTTTAAGGATAGAGCAAACATGTTTAATGAAGAGATGGCATGAGTGTATCAGACGTCCTTAAGGCAATTGCTTGATCATGTCAGCATGCAAGTCATCACCAGTTAGTTCCTTCTCTGTAAAGTGAACCTTAAGCTCTCACCTGTAGAAACTGAACATGGCTTTCCAGAGCCTCGCACTCCTCCTTAAGAACAGATCTGCAATTTAATAAAGAAAATAATCGATAAGAGCAAACAGCAGATTTCTTTTCTCATCTTTCTAAATGTATTAGCCCCTGTGATGAATAAGAGAACATGACATGCCAGAACAAAATTAGGGATCATTTCCATTAAAATTCAATGCTGTGCTTCATAGCACATTTTCTAGAGAGGTGGCTCTGTGGCTAAGAATCTGCGCCTGTGTCGCATATTCCACATGCAGGTTTCCGGTTCAAATCCCACGGCCGGCAGAGGAATCCTACTCCGTTGGGCCCCTGAGCAAGGCCCTTAACCCCAACTGCTCCAGGGGCGCCGTACAATGGCAGACCCTGCGCTCTGACCCCAAGCTTCTCTCCCTGTCTGTGTGTCTGTGTCTCCATGGAGAAAAGCTGGGGTATGCGAAAAAGACGAATTCCTAATGCAAGAAATTGTATAGGGCTAATAAAGAAACATTATTATAGTATTTTAATTGAATGTGAGTGGGACTAAATAAGTGCCCACTTGGTCCTGGAAGGCCAGTTTGTCCACCAGGTTTTCTTGGCCTTTTAAAGAAGCAGCACCTGAAGAGCTGGATAAAGTTGTTAAATTGGTCTTATTGAGCCAATAACCAGGTGGTTCAGCTCCTTAAGCTACTTATCTCAGTAGGGATAAACAACCCACAGCCTTTGGCCATCCCTGACTTTCTGCATCTGCTAGCATTTTATAGTTCATTCAGCAAAGGGTAAGAGTCAACTAATTCATTTATTAATTCTGTCTTCACCTACACATTTTTGCTCGAACGTTTTGAAAAATAAAACACAAAAAAAGACTTACAAGGATGAATTGCCTGTTAGTGACTTGCTCATACATGAAGTAGCAAGCTGGTGCATCTGTGCTTTCTACAAACATTACTATTCACATTATTAACTGAAAGAAAGTTTCTTTAAAAACATATTAGGGAAGTTTGATTGAAGTGGTTGATTTTGCTTGACAGGAGAATTTTACCGAATTGTAGATTAAGATATTTTTTTTCCATTTTCTGACAATAGGAGCTTTTGTTCTCTTTGTGTAAAAATAAGCTTTTTCCACCTTTTTTCCAGGTTATTCCCCTTGGAATCTGGCCATTTCATTTACTATTTGCATTCCACTCTGAGTCTGGGAAGATCGCATATTCCAGATGCAGGCCTTCAGGCTGACACACAGCAGAAGGGAGGTACAGTGCAGAAGATCCTCAGCAGTTTGTACATACAGTAGGTATCTCCCTTTCTGTTGCATTGGCCTTTAGTCAATGTTAGAAAGATGTTTCTGTTATATGTAAAAGAGTTGGCTCAGTAGACACCTGTTTCTCAGTTCTACCTGCGTTTATTTATATGCTATAGCACATGGTATACCAGGTTAAGAACAAAGCTGAACTAGAATGTATTTTTTCTAAGCAGGAACTTCTGGGTCTAGCAAGGCATAGTGTACCAAAGACTTCATGTAATTACACAGCTCAGAACATACCACAACATTGCTCAGAGAAAACTATAGACATAAAAATATGTAAAATACAAATGGAATTCATATATTTTATGATTATTCTAAGTTATGAAACAGTAAGATCTCAAATAAACAGGCCTGTTTAATGTTTGTGGTTCTTTGTACACTTTCTGCTTATTGTAAGTACGAAGATGTGCGTCTTGTTAATGAAAGCAATAAACTGAGCAGTGTTATACATAAGGCAGACTGGAAGAGCAACCTTGGCAGAGGAATGGATGCCTGTGGAGCAGAAGCTTGTATTTATCACGTCTGGAACAATTTGGCCTCCGCCTGGCCTCCTGCCCCCTTTGTAATACCCTGCTGTTACTTATTAAAGACACTCCGCAATACGTGTTTTACAGTACAGGCTGAAAAGTAAAATGCTGTAAAAGTAAGATAACTGTTAAAATGTTTCTCTGCAACATATTACTGCTGTTCTTCTAGGATATGCACAGTGCACTTTCTGCCTGTTTATTGTATAGAATGGAAAACAAGAACTGTTCAAACAGAATGGAAGACTGAGGTCAAAGAATGGCTGAACATCACGTCTCACTCAATTCATTCCCCTTACTCACGCTGCACAATCAGACCCAGGGCCCGACACCGGTGGATCGCATTTCAAAAGACCCCAGCTGTTGTGAAACGATCGGTATTTGAAACATACAAATCATTTCAGAAAGCTTCAGTTATTGAGGTATTTGAAATATATTTGCCAGTAGTTTCACACTGCCGTTGTGCCATAATTCTACTTTCTTTTAGACATTTTTTGTCATACGAGACACCATCAAAATGATCATTATTGTATATTCTCCTTAGATATTCAGCCTACAATCTGTAAACTGCTAAAAATATCAGTCTTCTGAGTTTTTGGAAGAAACTGATATACTTCAAAATGGTTCTCTTCTGCTTTGCTTAATCTATAAATTTGATCTATAAAACCATTATATACTATACTCCGTCGTACACATGATCTGTTTTAGTAAATCAGGCGTAACCAATTCTGCTTCTGAAACATGTTAAAACAGTTTGCCTTATGCATAGTCTTCAGGGCATGAAAACATATCTTTTACCACTGACTATCAGACATCAGAGAAGCACCAGTGTGTGGCAGGAAAGTCGGTGGGACACATTCCACAGAAAATCCTTGTTGAAATGCTACTAACTCAGACCTCTGTCAGATAACTGCTGTTCATGATGGCTCTGAGCTGTTGACCCCTGTTCACTGGAATGTGGTCTAATTTGTGATATGCATTAACATCTAAGGAAGCTTCTTCTGCCTGTGAGAAGTCCCAAGAAAATAAATCCTGAACAGAATCAGGAGGCGAAGCAGCAACAACCTAGAACAATGAAGAATTTTATCCCTGTCGTTTCAGTGAACATCAGAATAGAATGCAGAGATGACAGTCCGTGATATGTTTATAATTTACTATAACAACCTTGAGTCAAACAAAATGTAATTGCTTGAAAAGACAGGAATATCACCAAGATAAGCAACATTCTCTAAGGAAAGATTAACCCAGTCCTGTCAAGCCCTCAGGTAACAGTATATCTATTACTTACTGCAGATGTGCCACAACCTCATCAATATGGATAATGTTTAACTTGTCCTTAATGGCTTCAATGTCATCCAAATAGCTGGGGGTTGATGAGAGTCTGGAAAAGGACCTATGTGATAAAATCAGAGTTAATGTCATGTTGAGCAGAAGTGCATTACTAAGGGCAGAAGAGAATATTGTGAATGTACACATTCATTGAAAATTCTATTAATTTCTAAACTAAACTTGACAATGATTGAATTGGGAAAAATTTGAGTATCCGTCGGAATAATTACTTTATAGGTTTAATGTAAAATAAAGTCGGTCTTAAGAAATGGCAATGGTTTATCATAATAGGATGTGAGTTGAGTTGGTTGCACTTGTTATTCCTTACCAAATTTCAAATTTGACTGCAAGCAGATGTACTGTTCGGTAGTCGAAGGAAGAAAACTGAATCTGACTTTATTTTAGAAACAAGAGATCATCTCTTAGGTTTGGGTTCCAACCACATTATTTCTGTGTTACACGCTTTTTCTGGGTAAATCTTCGGGTTATATCCTCTCATACCCCAAAGATATTCTGTCCAGATTACTTGATGCCTTTCGAACTACCCTTGCGCCTGTGCGCCTGTGCG